GAAAATCTCCCATTTACACTGATAGAATAGCATTCTAAATGTTACTACATCAGTCATTATAGTATTTGCATACTTCGTTCATTGTGATTGGTCTTCTATTATTTGTATACCGTTTTTTACAATACACTTTTTTTTTTTTTTCAAAGTAGCTATACATAAAATCGTAATGATAATATTTATGATATCTTAATATCTTCATGCCTTTCACTGTTAATAAAACAGATTATTGGAGTATGTTTTAAAAGAAAATACAATTTCAGTCTTTCTACTTCAAAATTTCATGTTTAATTCAATGTATTACATCCAGATTCTTTGAAATTATTTGTGAAATTTACTAGCAGTTTCTGAGGGAAAATAGTTTCTACACTAAATTTAGCATTTACCAGATTAGAGCTGCATACTAGTATTTGCATACAAAATTTTGATTGGTCTTGCAATGATGCATATATTTACCTATTTGAAGATGCCTTTAAGTTCCATACACATGGCCAGTTGGAATGGAAACTAGCATTAGTACAGATTAAGATTCATTGATTACTTTACACATCATGAAGACAGTTAGACTGACCAAAATATTTACATAAGCCACTCTGGAGTTTTAGCATTTAGCTCAATGAACACTTATGGGATTCAGCTACTGATTACATTGTGAAGTATGTGGCCTGCCCACCTCACTTCCATGTATCTCGTGGCAGGGATGTTTACAGGGGAAAGGGGGAAATCATGTTCCTGTTTATTGACTGCAACAGTGCATTACAGCAGACTCATAAGCAAATGACGTATTCCCAAAAATGGTGTTAACATTGATCATTAGATTCATATTGAGTCATTTTTTCACTTGAATAGAGAGACAGTATGTCTGTGCTGGAAGGAGAATTGTGTGGATTGGGTGATGAGACAGAAATGAAGTCTGTGTGTTTGTGTATTATCTTCTTTACTTATGAGTCTGAACAAATCCCTATGAAGGTCTATAATAACACCTGGAGAAAGCTATCCATTAGCATTCACATTCATCTCAATGGCAGTTGCTCACTGGTGCATGACCGTCTTTGCTGGGCATTTAGTTCTGGACTCATTACTAAGTCACCTGAACTGTAAATGCCATGTGACTAATTACTCTAGAGTTTTTGATTGGCGGATGATACAATAAGAATTCACACAGTCCCAAGTCTTTCATTTGCAACTATCATGACCTGTGATTAATTGTACAGTACCATTTAAAAGTATGGGGTCAGTAAGTAAAAAATAAAAAATAAAAAATGTATTCCGCATATAGGCATTAAATTATTCAAAAGTGACAGTAAAGACATTCATAATGTTACAAAATATTTCTGTCAAATAAATGCTGTTAAATTAACTTTCTGTTCAATAAAGAACCATGAATCTTTTTAAATATGAATTCCCACAACTTTTTTCAACATTGATAAGAAGAATTGTTACTTGAGCAGCAAATCAGAATATAAAAATGATTTCTGAAGTATCATGTGACACCGAAGACTGGAATAATGGCTGCTGAAAATTCAGCTTTGCCATCACAGGAATAAATATATATTTTTAAATATATTAAAATAGAACAGTTATTTTTAATTGTAATAATGTTTTACAATATTCCTGTTTTTACTGTTTTTAATCAAATAAATGGTGAGCATAACAGTTTAAAAACTTACAAACTTTTTAATGCTAGTGTTTAGAAGTGTGCTCCTTAAATAAAATACAAATACATATATTTGTGATAAACAAAACATTTTGTCAGAATAGGCTACATGGCTTCTTCTGAAAGGCCATCGATGGAGAAAGACACATTTTGCCAGCAGAATGTTCCAGCATCTACCAGCTTACCTGCCCATGCTAACCAGCCAAACTTAAACTTGGTGCATACAAGGAATGCTAGAGAGAATAAGATAGAATGAGGAACAGAGACTACTATCAGGCATTTTTAACTCTCATTCCCAGTGACTTTGCCACGGTCTAACATACTGAAATACTGAGCTTCTGAGGTTTGGTGCATTTCCATGCAATGATGCCATTCACCACACTTGTTCACAGCGCAGCATTTTTCCACAGTCACTTCTGCACGATCTGCCTTTACTCCCCAGGCAATTCATAAGCAGAGACACTTTCTCAGCGGTCAACAGTGAATGTTGTGTCAAAAATGCAATTGCACCCCTGATTGCCATTTAGCTGGGTGTGTCTGTTTATACTTTTCATTACATTGCATGATTAGGAACAGAACTCCATGTTACATGCCATTTCAGGCTGAAATACTCATCCTCATATAGACGCTCGTTTGAGCTTTTTTAATATAAAACATTCAAGGATAGAAGAGGATAACCTTTTGCTTGCATTTTTAAATGTTGGATGTTTTGGTCTGCTTGTTGTGGCACTGCTGCAGAGGTGGAGAACGCAGGCATTTGCTATTCTCAGAGTGTCTCGCCAAGTCGCTCTCTCCATCTCCCTCGCCCTCCATCTTTTGCACTCTCTCTATCTTCACATTACCCTCCATCTCTCTCTCTTTATATCTTTTCCTTTCTCTTTCTTTCACCCTCCATCTCTCTCCCTTGCCCTCTTTCTCTCTCTAGCTCTCTCTCATCGGGAGACGCCTGTGGAATATAGTCATCAACATGAATTTTTTTTCCTCTCTGGAAGAGGCAAACCCTAACATACATGTAGTCAGCTGTGCAGTGGCTCTGCCTTTCCCACAATAAAAAACAGCATGAAAACATCACCTCGGCTTCGGCATCCTGCTCTTAACTCTTAAAGAGACACTTAACAATCAGTCACGAGACTCTACTTATTTTCAGATGAAGCAAGTGACTCATTTCTAACAGGTAGATAAGGTGTACATTATCCAACATGTTGCCTGGCTTACATGTATTGGTATTTACGAGATGTTGCCAGAGCTATTGCCATAAACATGACTCAGCCAGGCCTCATGAACCACAGGAGGAGGCCGGAGAGTGTGGAGGAACATTCTGGGTAAACACCACTTGTGTAATGGAGACGATATGGTTAGCTGTCCTAAATAGGCCTCCACTTGTTGACCTAGTATCATAATGCTGTAAATCAGAGCCTGACAAATGCATTTCAAAACACACGTCACTTTTTCAACTCAGATTGCTCTGTTCTGAATAAACGTAGCCTATACCACTTAGAATAAATGTATAAATAAAAATACGTGTGTGTAGAAAATGGTTGATTTAGATGAATTCATTTAGCCAGTAAAATAATATCAATATGAAGCCTATGCTTCATTAATTGAATTCAATTGTTTACCATTTTTTATCCTGACATTGAATCAGCGTAATATTTTGACTCGTACTGGTCTTGATATTAGAATGGCCAAAATTAGAAAAGAAAAATCGATTTACATTTTTATGAATAAAAATAGTTGCTATGATAAAGTATTACATTTGTAATTCTAGACTGAACCAAATGGTGGCATAAAGCCTGGGAATGAGCTCTGTCTAGTAATGTTTAACAATCTGAGTGAGTGTTTAAATATCCAGTGCATTTGCTTGATGAGCACATTTTTCCTTTATTGATGTATTTCCTATTGAAACAGGAAGTTTGGGTGGGACATATTAAAGTTGCAATGTAACAGAAGTAGCAGCAGATCTTTTCTTCCATATTGTGGCATATTCGAGTGTAACTGTAGGCTGGGGACTTCAATCCATCGATTGCTGATTGGATTCTGAGATGCATTGTACTCAAATATTAATGTGAGATTAGCTGTGTCTCATTTCAAAGGCTGCGCCAACCTAAAGGTCACATTTGTCTGTCATATAGATCAACAAGGATTATAAAAGTAACAATTACAGAAAAACTTTCATGAAATGATACAGCCTCAATGACAAATGCGGCTGACAAATGTGACCTCCGGAGGGCGCAGCCTTTGAAACGAGACAGCCATTGTGAACATATGTTACCAGATAGAAGCTCATTTTCACCAGAAGCTCAAGTTACAACATTTTAACAATATGAGATTAAAAAAAAAAGTTTTCTATAAAATGTTCTATAAAATACATTTACAACTAGATATTCATTTTATGCAGACTTTAAAGGGTTAGTGTCCCCTTTTTATTTAAAGAGCCAATAGACTTTAGTTAAAAAGTGACGTGACATGTGGCCAAGTATGGTTACCCATACTCGGAATTAGTGCTCTGCATTTAACCCATCCAAAGTGCACACACACAGCAGTGAACACACACACACCGTGAACACACACCCGGAGCAGTGTTACATAAAAAAAAATAAAAAAAAAATATATATATACATTTTTTTGCTTTAAAAAAAAGTAGTTACATCACAACCACAAACTACGATTTGTTACATTCAAGACAGCTGCAGAGAGTTTTGGGGTGAGGGAAATTTTAATTTTACAAACCATTTAATTAGACATAAATCTGTATAGTACAATAATAAAAAAAAATAAAAAAAATTGAAATGTGTATTTTTTTCTAAAAATTAAGCTAACAGACAGACTAAAACGCTAGATTTGATATTTTGTGGTCTTTAAACTGATGTCACAATGAATTCCAGAGAAACAAAAAAATTATAAAAAAATAATGAAAAAATTGTCATAACCTTGCTTCTTCAAACATTACAAATAAAGCTCCTTAAAAACAAATCATATGCACACTGGTGCACAGTTACTTTTTAATTCTACTGAGAATCTAAATATTAAGATGTAGTAACACTATTTTTCAGTTAAGTTTGATACTTGATTTACACAGGTCTAGACAGCACAACAATCCAACGAATAGAGTGCCTTCCCCTTTAAGGAGCCCCCCTTTTCTCCACAGCAGGGGGAGGGTGAGCATAATCCTGGATATTAAGATGTAGTAACACTATTTTTCAGTTAAGTTTGATACTTGATTTACACAGGTCTAGACAGCACAACAATCCAACGAATAGAGTGCCTTCCCCTTTAAGGAGCCCCCCCTTTTCTCCGCAGCAGGGGGAGGCTGAGCTCAATCCTGGAACAGCGATTAAAAAAAAAAAAATTCACCAGTAGACTGTTTCAAGTTCCCCCAGCAGAAACTGTGCCTGATTTGTGGCCAATGCTGGGGATGTACGAAAAGGGAGGAAAACACTAAGCGGGTAGCTATGGAGATAGACCGTTTTCCTGGCCGCTTCCTTTGACAGGTGTTGAGTAGGTTAAAAGTCTTCAAACAGAGTCCACCATGTACGCCAAAGGGAAAGGAGCTGTCGTTCCATCCGATAATCAAGCCAGAGAGAAGTAAGTGAATTTGTGCATTGTCACATATTGAGCAAAAACCTGCACGTTCTCTGATGCCTGCGCTGCACTGCACGAGACGGCTATCTAACAGTTGACTAAGTAGTTTCTTTGCAGATTCTGTGCAGTGCTCATCTAGCTGTGTTGCACAGCTCTTTTGAGGTATTTTTGTTTATGCATGCTGCTTGTGCTTGCTTTGGAGCAACTTTGTCATGCATTCGGGTAGTAGACGTTACATGAAGGATTGTACCATGCAGATGCAGATGGAGAGTTTGTGGAAGGTTTGGATCAATGCGTGATGTAGATGCTCAGATGCTTCTTGTGCATGAGACATACAGATCCCAAGATCTAATTTTTGATGCACGTAATCATGTTAGAGCAGCTGTACAAAGTAATGTAATAAAATAGTTTGATTTGATGAGTGAGCTTGTGACAGTTGAAGATTTTACTTGGTTTAAAACACCCGGACTTGCGCGTTACTGTTATTCATTGATCTTAGTTCCACTTTAAGTAGTTATAAAGTCTCAATTTCTTACGTTTTGTGTTAGTGACTTTTTAGGTTTGTTGTTTTAAATACATAAGCCTGGGTTTATATTTTGTGCGAAAGCAGGAGGAGTTGCAAGACATACAGTCAAACAAGTTATGCATAGTATGTGGACAGTGTAGTTTAAACAAGGTTTCCATAAGCACTGAAAACCTAGAAATATCAGGTGACATTAAAAGTATGATTTCCACACAGAGTCATAGAGATTTTTATAGGGATATTTAAGCTCTGCCATGTTTAAGCAACCAGATATTGGTCTTATGGAGTAAAACTTGCCAGAGGATGTTGAGGTCTTGTTGAAAACATTTGTACACTAATAAGTTTAATTGTTTAAATTATTAATTCAAAAGCTTGATGTCTGTAAATGGAAAGTTGTTCTTGAAATCTCAATGAAATGATTTTAAAACTCTTATCTGGCAATTATGAATGACTGGAAACGTCATGGGTCAAAAAATGCATGAACCCAATAAAAAAATGTATATCTCAACTAAATCTAATAGCAAATGACAGCATATCCTTGCGGCAGTAAAACTTTTATTGGTTTGTAAGGTTGTCTAAAAGCTTTTTTTTTAGTTTAGACTGTCTTAAACGGTAATGGCTGATAAGTGTCCATATGGCTAGTTTAAGACATTGTTGTTCTCATAATCTGTATAATTTTTTAATAGTTGCTTTGTTCTGATAGGCTGCACCTGTGATCAGCTTCAGTTGTTCTTTTGAAACATCTGAATTCAGGTGGTGCTGATAGTGACCCCTCAAAATGATGAGGATCAGAGTTGGACAACACACTTTAAGAGGCTTAAATGGAAAGTACGAGATGCTTAGTGTAAGATAATGAGCTGAAATCACATCCACAGTTTTATACTGCTCATTTGCATTTGTGCTATACTGAATGTTCAAGGACTTTTGTATGTCCAGAAATGGCTTGAATGAACGATGCACCTTAGCAAACGTAATTCCTGCTGATCTCAAATTTGTTGTTCGGTTTGTATTCTCAGTAGTCAGGCATTTTTATATCTAGTATAAACTTTAAATTACAACTTGTGGCAGAGCATTAAAGGGTTAGTTCACCCAAAAATGAAAATTAGCCCATAAATTACTCACCCTCAAGTCATCCTAGGTGTATATGACTTTCTTCTTTCAGACGAATCCAGTCGGAGTTATATTAAAAATTGTCTTTGATCTTTCAAGCTGTTTAATGGCACTCAGCGAGTGTTGCATGCATCAGTCCAAAACAAGTTAAATAAAAAGCGCCCATCCATAAAAAAAGGATCACACGGCTCCGGGGGGTGAACAAAGGCCTTCTGTAGCGAATCGATGTGTTTTTGTGAAAGAAATATGTCCATATTCAAAATGTAATAATCACTTTAATGTAGCTTGCGCTCACTGTTGTAAAGGGAAGCAGTTCCGGGCGGATGATGTATGGAGGTCGGCTTTGCGCATGCGCAGCGCTGACCTCAGAGGTCATCCGCACGGAACTGCTTCCCTTTACAACAGTGAGCGCAAGCTACATTAAAGTGATTATTACGTTTTGAATATGGATATTTTTCTTACAAAAA